TTTTCTTGGCATGTTTCTTCAAATGGGGTTTGCCATTACCATCCTCTGCGGCTGAGAGTGTGTGACATGACCAGAGTCACTTACTTGGCTGCAAATTGTACATAGCCCATAGCCCTATTATATTGGCAGTCCTTCACCCCAACACTTTCTCATTTTCCCCCAACCATCTCATAGCTGGGAGATGGAAATAATTTTTGAAGCAACATTTAAATCTGAACTATTTTTTTAAAAGTAACATCCAAAACTCACTGCAGAAATAAATACTATGGAACATGGGAGCTGGAGTTTGTTGTGTTTATAAGTGACAGTTTTCCTGCTAAGTACCTGCATGTCATAAGCATTTGAATTAAAATTATCATATAGAAATCAAATCTTATGTTTTTTAAATGTTTATTTGGTGTGCGTTGGATGAGGAGTTGTCTTATACGGCGAGTATATCCCAAACTCTATATTTTAGCTGGAAACGTTGGGGGTCGTCTTATACGCCCAATCATCTTATGCGCTGTAAAATATAGTATATCCCTCAAGCAGATGATGCTGTGGAGTAGAACCAGCAGCAAAGCTTTGGAGGTGAGAACTTTGCATGCCCCACATAGGGGCCTTAGTTAGCCTGCTGCCCCCAACTACAGCAAAAGACGCTGACCCATCACTGATGTCAACATAAAATTCAATTGCCACTCTGTCAGCTGACCCTGTACATCCAACAGGACAGGTTTGTCCTTTAGCTTAGACAGCAAAATATTTTAGGAAGAGCTAGTTTAGGGAATCAACCAAGATAGGTTTGGAAGTTCTTTGAAGCAAGATATCTATGTGTGTGTGGCATAGTGGTTTGAGTGTTAGACTACAAATCTGGAGACCAGGGTTCAATTCCCCACTCAGCCATGAAACCCATTGGGTGACCTTGGCCAAATCATATGCTCTTAGTCTTTGGGGAAGGCAATGGCAAGCCTCCTCTGGACACATCTTACCAAGAAACCCCCATGATAGGTTCACCTCAGGTTCACTATAACTTGGAAATTTGAAGGCACAAAACAACAACAACAACAATGTGTCAACTAATATTGATGGACAATTAATGGCCACTATTGTTGTTGGACAGGGGTGAGTGCCGTGCTGCTCTGGGATTGCTGTGTTTGCCATTTTCTTAATTGGTAGAATGCCTCTAATTGTTTTTCCATGATACAGTGTGATTTTTAAATATTTAAAGTATTTTATGCTAATCCATGTAAGTCAGCTTAATGTCCTGTTGGACATTAAGGAAGCATGTAAACTGGGGGAATTAATGCATTTTTTCTATTTTTAAAAGCTGAGCAGCTTTACAAAAAAGAATGATGGGATGAGAAGGAAGAGCAGGAGGAGGTGGTTAATGTTTTCCAAAGTTAAACATGGATTCATAGTTGAGTCATTAGGGGCTTAGTGACTCCTGAGCTCTTGAGCTGGGCTTCCTGGATAGGAAACCTATGGGCAAATGTTGCTCATCCCTTACCCTTGGCTAGGCTGGTTAGGTCTGATAGGAGAATATGTGGGCTGCGTATGTTGATGAACTGTTGTTCCATGATCAAGATATGCAGGGCCACATGTTCTTCAGACCTGTGTTAGAACTTATGGTCTTTTCAGAAAGTCCTTGTTGGTGATGCATTACTCTCTATGTGTGAAAGTTCAGACACCTCACACACATATTTTGTACTGCTTGTTCTAACAGAGACCCTCCCAAGAGATCATTTCCATCTATAATAACTCTCAAAACAAAGTATAAGAGGACAACCCACAGAGATACTCACTTGAATACTCTCTTGGACTTCTGTTGCAGTGGTTGGCTCAGACCATCTAGTGGCTGCACCTTCCCATGCATCATTACAGCACACTTGGGTGAGAGTGTTGCAAACACTGGTGAGTTCAAGCAACCCCTTTTCAAGAACCTGCTGAGGGACAAGGTCGTCCGGGACTTGGGCAGTAGCTTGGTCTCACTGCTCACAGTGTCCTGGGAGATGTGGCAGGTTCCTGATTCAGAATTCATGGAGATCTCATTGCTTTCAGTAATGGAAGGGAAAGGACTGCAGCTAATCCCATTGGTATCCCAGACCCTCTCTATGCCAGAGGTGCTGTTTTCAGCTACACTAAGAGATGATGGGTGGTTAGTGCTGTTTGGCAGAGTGATATGCTCAGGGCATTGGAGAGGATGATCACTCAGAGCACCACAGGAGGAAGGAAGAATATTGGAAGGACATGGAGGATCAGAAGTGCCAGTGTAAACAACCAGATGGCGAACTGGAACAGTAAACTGGCATAGCTGCAAGAAAGAAAAGAGAATATTTATAGCACAACAAATTGCATGGTATTCCTGGGAGCAGGAAGCTCCTGGTAGAAAGGATTTGCCTAGTTCTTGGCTATCTTGCTGTTTGTGCTTTCACACTCAAAGGCACCACTAGGGGGGTGCGGGGGTTCAGATACCCAGGTGACACTCCAAAGGAGGTGACACCACTGCTTCCCAAACATCTGCCTTTTGGCAGAAACAGGCTGCGGCATTCTCTTGCATCCTTTTTAAATGCTGAAAAGATGGTGTGAGTGGGATGAGGCTCATTGGGAGGTGAAAGGAGAGGGTTTTTTAAAAAATATTTTTTTAATTTTTTAAAAATATATATATTTTAATTTTTTAAAAAAAATATTCTTTTAAATTTTTCTTTCTAAACATCACATCTTACCAAATTTTCATTTTAACCACATGCAGCTATGTACACATAAATGCATTTAGGCTGTGCATATGATATTGTAATTTAAATGTATAATTTTAATTTTGCTAGTTGTTTATGTCAAAACTATTATCATTATATTCAGTGATATATGATTTATGTGTTAGTACAAAAATATTAGTACAAAAAACATTACCAAAGATTCTGTATGGTGTGGTATGAGAGGAGGTCAATAGGGGGATGACCCCAGGAATTACCACACCAGGCGACACAAACCCTAGTGATGCCAAGTGTGCTTCCTGCTGCCTCTCTCCAACAACATGGCAGCCTACTATAGTGGGCTCTTGGTATTTGTTTGAGTTTGGTTCCAGGACCTTCTGTGGATACCAAAATTTGTGGATACTCAAGTCCCATTAAATAGAGTGGCATAGTAAAATGTCCCTTATATAAAATGGGAAAATCAAGCTTTGCTTTTTGCAATTTATATTTTTTAAATATTTTCAAGCTGTACATAGTTGAATCCATGGATAAAAAAAATCTGTGGATACATAGGGCTGACTGTATATAGATCCTTACAGAACCTCTTGCTCTGTTACTTATCATCTTACATTTGGCACTATAAAACACAGAAACAGTTCTTTTAAAAAACAAAAAGTGGGCATGTGGAGATAATCCTTATCCATTACATCAACAGTGGGCTATAAAACTTAGAGTTAAAAACCACCACAAATATTTTAAACTATTGAAACATATCCCATTTATTCTGATGCTCCTAACACAATCTCAAAATAGATATACACTCAGTATAGAAACAAACTGTGTTGAAAACTAATATAAAGTTATTAGAAAGCAAACCCCAAGAACTCAGTCAATCTCATTTTTCCCAGTCAAGATAGACAGGAACCAGGCTTTTTCTGTAGCAAACTCTCTCCCTGAATTCTCAAAGTATCACATTAAACTATGCAGATTGCTTTTTGTGTGTGTTTATGAATGGAAAATTCATATGGACCGCAGACTCCAGAAAGCCTTTTATATGTGTGAGCGATTGGGATGATTCAGGAATCCATTTTTTGTTAATTTCACTGTGAGCTGACCTAATCTGAACCTCTTAGATTAATTATAGAGGTTGATCTGTTATTCTGCATGTGTGCATGAAATGTTATAATTAAACAATTGATTCCTTCTTATATTGCAAGATACTCTGAGGATCATAGAAATTATATTTTTACAGAAAAATCACTAGTTTAGTAAATTCATATATATATATATATATATATATATATATATATATATATATATATATATATATATATATATATATATATATATATATATATATATATGATAGGGACATCATAACTAGAGATTGGAACTAGCATTGGGATATAGAACATCTGTAGCACAGGGGGAAATGGGGTTAATTTTGGTTGGAAGACCAAAATGGGAAATGGAAGAAACAGGGGGTTGGGGAGGTTGTTTGTTTGTTTTTGTTTTTTTTTAAAAAAGCATATCTTAACTAATGCTCTAATTAACATAAAATATAATACAAAAGATAGTTATTAGAGATCCTCCCACTCAATTTAAAATTCACTACAAATGTTCTACTGGAATAGTGACAATTGTCAAAAATACCATATTCTAATGAACAATCATTGGTTATTTTTAAAAAAAAATAAGATTGCTATGTATGTAAAACATATACTGTACATTTTCATATACGGAAGTCATGTAAAATTTATTTAATATTTTTATTAAGTTTTTAGCTGTGGTTGTATAATGTTTGAATTAACATACTGTAATTGCAAATAATACTTCTTGGTTTTCCAGAAGAAAGAATGTTTAGTGATTAGGTTACTTAGGGAGATGGGGATATTAGTTCATGAGCCAATGAATTTTTAATTGTGAATTTATTATGAACTCTTTAAATATACATTTGGAGGATGATAAAAATATACAGCTTCTGGGTGAACATAACAACAGTTTCACATCACAAAGGTTGTGTTTCAAGTGTGTGTTATTGACGCTTAAGTCTCAATAATAGGCATTTAGCTCATAGGGCTTGTCTACACAATTAAAATACTCCTCATGGATTCAAATACATTGTGATCTGACCACACACAAGTCAAAGGAATTCAGGAGAACTCTGCAGAAAAGAATTCACAGTTTTTACTGGAATATCCATGAGCATCTGCAAGGATGCACATTATCAAACGTGAGGCTGTCTGTCGGATTTGCATGGATTTGCATGGCTGTGTATTTTCAGTAGAGAGAGGTTGAATAGATGCAAATTTATGCAGGAAAGTGAAAACAATTAAGCATTGATGCAAATGTGCTAAAATCCACAGCAATTCACATAAAACGCTTATGTGTAGACTAGCCCACAGTCACCAATGCCAGCCTTACCATTAGGTAAGGTGGGGGGTGACCTCAGGTGACAGACTTTGGGTGTCATGAAAAGGCAGCAAATTTGTCAGCTATTGGATTTGTTATTATTTTATTTTTACTGAGAGGATTGGGGAGAAGTGCTTGTAGGATTTTCTGCCTTGGATACCAAAATAAGATTGCTACGTTTGAATTGGGTCCATGTGCTCTGATAGTCACTGTCTTTATCAAACAGTCCCAAGCATTCTGACAAGCTTACATATGCTGCTACATTTGAACACTGTTCGCTGCACCTGCACATCTGGCAGATGTGTATTCAGACAACTACATTTTTCAGAGCCCACATACTTTCTTGCCCAAGTGTTTCATCAGAAGTAACATGGATTGCGATACTGATGAAACGAGAAAGTATGTGAAAGTCTTCTTGCAGTGTCTACATTGTACTAAATTGCAGTGTCTACATTAGGGTCTAACTGCCCACTTCATCCCTCCCTTCATTCACTGTTAGGAATGAAAAACATTGATTATTGTCTCAGAATATTGTCCAGAACAATGCCCAGAGCCCAGAACATTGTAGCATGATGTGTGTATCTTTGATATGGGTGCTTGCAAAATTCCATTAGCTGGAGGTAGTTTTGTTCTTCCAACCTGTTTCTGCATAAAAAAAGAAAACTATGGGGGGTTGCAGACTGCCAGAAATAGTGCAAATTGAGTCCACTTTTAGGGTTAGGGCTAGGGCTATGGAATAATGGGAACTGTATTTTATTGCAGCACCAGAGCTCTCTGACAGAGAAGGCTCAATGTCTCAGA